CTTTGTAGCCCAGGCTGGCCTCAAACTTAGAGATGCGCCTGCCTCTGCCTCCCAAGGCCTGGGATTAAAGGTGTGCGCCACCACTACGTGGCTCAATTTTTTTTATTTGTTTTTTATTTTATGTGTGTGTGTGTGCCTGAGTGTATGTATGTGTACAATGTATTACAGGAGCTCACAGAGGTCAGAAGAGGCATTAGATTCCCTGGAAGTGGAATTACAGATGGTTGTGAGCTGCCCTGTGGGTGCTGGACTTTGAACCTGGGTCCTCTTAAGCAGTAAGCCATTTCTCCAGCCCCTTTATTCCATTTTTAGTAGCTTTCTAAGATGGAAAGTTTTTGATACTTTACATGTTTTTAAATATAGTTTTTATTTGTATCTATTCATCTCCGTGTGTGTGTGTGTGTGTGTGTGTGTGTGTGAGAGAGAGAGAGAGAGAGAGAGAGAGAGAGAGCGAGCTTTAATCTCAGCATTCAGGCATTCAGGAAGTAGAGGCAGGTGGACCTCTGTGAGCTCAAGGCCAGCTTGGTCTACAGAGAGAATTCTAGAACAATCTGGGTCACATAAAGAGGCCCTATCTCAAAAATATAAATAAATAAACAAAAATAAAAAATAAAAATATATAACTTTTTTTTCCTACACTCAAATTTGTTGATAGTTGGGATGGGTATAGAATTATAGGGTTAAAATAATTCCCATTTTGAACTTTGAAAACACTACATTTCTAATTTTGCTTCTAAGAGACATAAATCTGTTTTCTTTCATTTAATGGTTTGTCTTTCTCTGAAAAACCTTGAAATGAACTCTGAGTTGTCTCTGAATTTCATTCTGCCAAAGTCGCTATATGTCCTCGGAATTTGGAAATTTCCATGTTTCAATCTAAGAGACTTTCTTGTGATATTTCTTGATTTATTCCTCTCCTTCATTTTCTCTGATGTACTTTTGCCTAACTCTATCAGTCCTTACTTATTCTTTCTCTGGATTAGCATCTCAGGCTTTAGCCTCTTTACTCTATGCTCATTCATGTCTGCTACCAAAACTTTAATAAGGTTTTTTATTATTTCCTCTTATATTGCATCTTGTGTTTGTTTTACAGATGCATACGTTTCTCCTTATATTTTTCTTGAGTACCTTTCCTTTGTATTGAAGCTTTTCCTCAAATGCTCAAGGATCCTTCATTGTCCATTCATATTACAGATGAGATCATAAAGGCTGTTCAAAGCTCTGCGTGCATACACCACTGCCAGGCAGTCTAGTCAGATTTTCTACTGGGCACTGCCATTCTATGGTATGGTTCACTGCTCCAAAGAACACACTGCTTTCTGATTTCCTCACTGGATTTACATGCAGCTACCAGCATCTGGGACCAGGTTGGGGAATAAGTCTGTCTCCCTTCCTCCACTCCTCACTATAGTCTTCTTCTGACCTTTGGTCCTCAAGTCACGACATTCTCTGGTTAAATTTCTCCAACTCTCCTTCCTATCCACTATGGGGTTCTGGAGGAGCAGATGTCTCTTTGCTTGAGCAGAGATAAAAATTTGGAGATTCATGGCTGGGCGGTGGTGGCGCACGCCTTTAATCCCAGCACTCGGGAGGCAGAGCCAGGCGGATCTCTGTGAGTTCGAGGCCAGCCTGGGCTACCAAGTGAGTTCCAGGAAAGGTGCAAAGCTACACAGAGAAACCCTGTCTTGAAAAACAAAACAAAAAAAAAAAAATTTGGAGATTCTGAACTATACATTTCCTCGTCTCACTCCCATCTTCAATAACACCGAGGCCTGGGGGCTCAGAGGTAGAGTGCTTCCAACAGCCATAGGGAGGGAGGGAGGGAGGAAGGAAGGAAGGAAGGAAGGAAGGAAGGAAGGAAGGAAGGAAGGAAGGAAGGAAGGAAGAGTATCTTAGTCACTGTTCTATGACTGGGAAGAAACACGATGACCAGGACAACTCTTATAGACGAAAGCATTTCACTGGTGCCTGGCTTACAGTTCAGAGGCTTAGTCTATTATCATCAAGGCAGGGAGCATGGCGGTACACATGGTGCTGGATCATTAGCTGAGAGCTACATCCTGACCCGAAGGCCTAGAGAGAGACTGGACCTGGCATGGTCTTTTGAAAGCTCAAAGTCCACATCCAGGAACAAGGATTACCCTTGTAATCCTTTCAAACAGTTCTACTCAGTGGTGACCAAGTACTCAAATATAATGGGGGTCATTCTTATTCAAACTACCTCAGAGGGGAAGGAAAAGCAGCTAGAGTCCAATTTTGAGCTGGCAGAGAGGACATTGCCAATGCAATACCAAAAGGACATGTCCAAGGAAGATCTGATGATAGGAATAAATCTCCAAGTTCAAAGGACTCACAAATGGTGAGCAAGATAAATACAAAAGCATAAATAACCAAATACATTGTGGGCACACTTGAACACCAACGGGAGAGTGCACGGCACCTCTGTCTTGTTCTCCCTTCCTTATGTTTTACAGCTCTCCATCACTTAACTTTTTCTGGGTGTGTCCTCAAGCCTTCTTAGAGTGTTTAAGACAGCTTCACCGAGGCTCAGTGGCATAAAATCAATGGGACCTGCTCAGAGATTCTAGCTCGGAGCGTTGTTATGGTTGGCTCTGAAGTGTCGCCCACAGGCTTGCATTTTCAATGTTTGTTCCCCAGATGGTTGTGCTACAGAACCTTTGACAGATGAGCTGATCAGAGTGGGTGGAAGCTCGTCATTAGCACAGGCCTCTGTCGGGCAGCCTGGCCATGGCAATGAAAAGCTAACAAACATAAGCACATATTTAAACTTGTGAAACCAGCATCACAGTCAAAATAACGAACATGCCACCACCTTTAAAAGCTTCCTTCCAAGTCCTCCCTCCTGTTCTTCCCCGATTTCCTGTCTCCAAGCAACCACTCTTTGCTGTCACTGAAGATTTATTTGCTTTTCCCCAGAATTCAACATGTATGAGTTACTTCTCCAGTGCTGTGAGTAAACACATGACCAAGGCGACTTATGGAAGGAAAGGTTGATTTGAGTTCCATAGGGATAAAAGTCCATCACCATCATGCCAGGGAGTGATGCGGAACGCAAGCGTGGCAACTGGAACTTCAAGCTGAGGGTTTATATCTCCATCCGTAAGTGGGGAGCAGAGAGAGAAAGTCAAATTGGGAATGGCACATGACTTTTGAGACCTCAGAGCCTACCCATGCCCCGGGGGGTACACTTCCTCCAGCAAAGCCACATCTCCTCATCCTCTCAAAACAGTGCCACCAACTGGGGACCAAGTACGGAAATGCCTGAGGAAGTAGGGGGCATCTCATTCAAACCGCCATGCTATGTTAATGAAATTACTCAGTAGGTACGAACACCCCTGTGGGAGTCGTTGTAGTGGACTACACTTTCATTTCTGTAGGGTGCAGATCTAACTGTGGAGTGCTGCATCCGTCTGACAAGTGTGTGTTGAACGGAGGAACCATCACCAAGCTGTTTCCCGAAGGGCTTGTGTCAATTGACATTCCCATTAGCAATGCGTGAAAATTCTAGATGGTCACGCCCAACCTAGCACTTGGTATGGTCAATGTGCTAGATAGTTTTTGTCAACTAGACACAAACTAGAGCCACCTGGGAGTATGGGAACCTCAGTTAAAAAATGCCTCCATCGGATTGACCAGTGGCATCTCTGTGTGGCATTTTCTTGGTTGCTGGTTGCTGTGAGTGGGTTCAGCCCACTGTGGGTGGTGCGATCCCTGGGTGGGTGGTCTTGGGTTATATAAGGAAGCAGGCTGAGTTAGCCATGAGGACAAACCCAGTGGACAGTGTTCTTCCAGGGAAAGCCTTGGCTCTTGCTTGAATCGCTGTCCCAACTCCCTTCAATGACAGGCTATGACTGGGCCGTGTAAACCAACTTTCCTTTCCTGCCCCAAGTTGCTTTGGGTCGGAGTGTTCATTACAGACTGGAAGCAAACGAGAGAGGGAGCCTTTTCAGTTCCACAGATGCATGTGGTTCCTCACTGTGGCTGTAAACGGCTTCTCTCTGACGGTTGATGATGCTGAGTAACTTGCCGTGTGCTCCACTGTCCTCTGCTGACCTGGGCTGAAGTGTTTTCTCTAATATTTCGCCTATTCTTTTAATGACTTCCATGTGTTCCTGTCATTAGATTTGAGAGCTCTTTACGTATAGTCTAGATGCAACTTCATACATCCCCAAGGACTCTCCGCACTCTGTGGCTTGGGTATTAATTCCTTAGTAATGTCTTTTGATGAGGGGAGAGTTTTTTATTTGATGATGACCAACCTGTCAAATTTTTCTTTGATGGATTAAGCTTAGATTTTTTTTTTAAGATTTATTTATTTATTATGTATACAGCATGTATGACTGCAGGCTAGAAGAGGGCACCAGATCTCGTTACAGATGGTTGGGAGCCACCATGTGGTTGCTGGGAATTGAACTCAGGACCTCTGGAGGAGCGAGCAATCAGTGCTCTTAACCTCTGAGCCATCTTTCCAGCCCAGATTTTTTTTTTTTAATCTAAGAATTTTTGCCTAAGCGAAAGATTTTCCCCTACATTTTCTCCTAGAAGTTTTATGATTTTAGGTTTTAGATTTGGGCCTATATACCCAAGAGCTTTTGTGGGTCTTTGTTTTCATGGTGCAAAGTATAAATGAAGTCCTTTTAATTTTCACAGACAGGTCTCCAATAATTCTATCATCTTTATTGACAAACTATCCTTTCTTTTCAGCACCTTTGTCAAATAAATGTTCATGAAATTAACTGTAGCTTTATTTCCAGACTGATTGCTTCCATCAAGCTATCTGTCTACCCTTATGTGATTACCATGCTGTTCATGTGCCTGCCAGCCAGATTGATTCAGCAGGTAAAGGCTCTTTGCTACCAAGAAAGAACTGACTCCTCCTGCAAGTTGTCCTTGTGGTATATAGCCAAATACCACCATGCTGTGTTCACACACACACACACACACACACACACACACACACACACCAATCAATGTAGTTTAAAATTTTGAAAAGTTATTGAAATTGTTTAGCAAGGTTGCAGAATTTAAGATCAATAAACAAAAACCTACTGTATGTCTGTATTCCAGCAATGAACAATGGGAAAATAATAGTAAGAGTTACCAGTTACTGGGGCTGGAGAGATGGCTCAGCGGTTAAGAGCACTGACTGCTCTTCCAGAGGACCTAGGTTCAATTCCCAGCACCCACATGGAAGCTCACAACTGTCTCTAACTCCAGTTTTAGGGGACTCTCACACAGACATACACAAAGGTAAGACACCAATGCACATAAAATAAAAATAAATAAATTATTTTAAAAAAAGAGTTACTAGTTACAATATTTCACAAAGGCAAACTCCTCAGGAGCAAGTCTGTCAAAAAACATTCAAGATGAGCACCCTGAAAATACAGAATATCAGCCAGGCAGTGGTGGTGCACACCTTTAATCCCAGTACTCAGGAGACAAAGGCAGGTGGATCTCAGTGAGTCTGAGGCCAGCCTGGGCTACAGAGTGAGTTCTAGGACAGCCAGGGCTACACAGAGAAACCCTTTCTGGGAAAACAAAACAATACAAAAAAAAAGGGGGGGGGGAGAAAAAGGAAGAAAGAGAAGAAAATACAGAACATCGATGAAAGAAAACTCCAGAGACAAATGTGCTGCTGTATCCTGTTCATGCCTGAAGACTCAATATTGTTAAGGTATCTAACTCATAAGTATCTATGACTCAATATGATCCTGACCAAAACCCCAGGGTGTCTTCTGTAGACACTAATTGGCTGAATGTGAGATTCATGTGTAAATGCAAAGCCCTGGAAAAAGAGCAAAACTGGAGGGCTCCCATGATGACGTCAGGACTAACTATCAAGGCAGTGTTTTATTCCTAAAGTCATACATTTCGTTTCCAAGAAGATTTTTCTTCCTTGAAGAGTAGCCATTTGAGCAGCTGCTGTTAATGATCTGAAGTCACTACCTTCTTACTCTTTTTTTAGAATGCAACAGAGTTTTTATTCAGCTTAGTTTTGCTTTTCTCCTTCAGAAAATACACTTTTTTTTTTTAAATTATAGAATGGGCCTCAGTTGTCCGGTGATGTTTAAGAATGAGAAAATGGGGGGCTGGAGAGATGGCTCAGCAGTTAAGAACACTGGCTGATCTTCCAGAGGTCCTGAGTTCAATTCCCAGCAACCACACAGTGGCTCACAACCATCTATAGTGGGATCTGATGCCCTCTTCTGTTCTGCAGGGGTACATGCAGACAGAACACTGTACACAACTAAATAAATAAATCTAGAAGGAGGAGGAGGAAGAAGAGGAAGAGGGGTTGGGGATTTAGCTCAGTGGTAGAGCACTTGCCTAGCAAGTGCAAGGCCCTGGGTTCAGTCCTCGGCTCTGACCAAAGGAAAAAAAAAAGAGGAAGAAGAAGACAGGAGCTAGGCAGAAGGACTGACACAGTAACTGTTTACTGTGTTAGCAAGATGACCCCAGTCTGGATCCCCACCATCCACACAAAAGCCAGGTGCATTGGGGTGAAGACAAGATGATTTGGGGGCGGGGGCTCCCTGGCCAGCTAGCCTAGCAGAACTGGTGAGCTCCTGGTTCAGTGACAGAGCCTGTCTCAAAATAAATAAGGTGGAGGGGGACTGGAGAGATGGCTTGATGGTTAAGCACTCGCTGCTCTTGTGGAGGACCCAGGTTAGGTTTCCAACACCTGTAAAGAGGCTCATAACCATGGGTAACTCAACTTCCAAGCGGAACTGACGCCCTCTTCTGGTCTCCACAGGCACTGCATGCACATGCTGCACATCTACACAGGCAGACAAAACAGTCAGACATCAAACTAAAATCTTTACATTGGAGAGAAACTAAGGAAGACACCTGATGTTGACCTCTGACCCTTCACATGCATGTACACCTACCTACATGAACACAGAATGTAGAAAAAAAAAACTCACAAAGGATTCAGCTACACAATCGAAACAGATTATTCATGTGTGTAAGAAATATTATGTAGAACAGTCATTATGTTTAGATGTATTTTAAATCTGTTAAAACTATTTTCTTCCCAGACCTTCACAACAATCCTGAGAACCGGTCAAGACTGCCATCGTCACCCCAATTTACAGAAAACACAGGGAGAGACACTGCTTCTACAAAATCACATAGCACTTGGAGGCAGATCCATGATGTAATGTCTGCCTCCCTGCATGGTCACCTTCCAGAATTTGGGAAGCAAATAAGATTTCTGGGGGTTCTACTCAACCCGGAAACAACCGTTTAATCAGTCACTTGCCCGTCCCTTTTTATAACCACAGCTCCATTTTCAGGCATCAGAGAGGTTGTCTTATATAACTCTGTCATTTTATTGACGAAGAAACTGAGGCTGAGTGAGAGGGAGTGGCCTGTCCAAGGTCTCAAAGATAAGATTAGAAATCTCTGTGACACCGGGACCAGAGCCAAGCTCTTCCAACTGGAGGCAGGATTTCGGGTGTGTATGTGCTTGGCCCCGGAGTGCAGGGGAGGGAACGGGTGGGAGGGATGAGGGTAGCAGAGAGCCCTTTATAGCCTGGTATAACTCCACACAGGGTCTCTATACAGCCAGGGACAACAGAAGAGAAAGTACACCTGTGCCTGCCTCTCTTTCTGTTCCTCGGATGTAAACACATCTGCAGGTGCACAAACAAGACCCAGGGCCGCGAAGCCAGGTGCTTGCTCACCACAGACAGAAGCCTCGTAACTATGGTGACCTCTTCCTGTCCACAACCTCTGGTTTATGCCAGCCAGAGTAGCCAGAAACTCAGCATGGCCCCGGGGCACTGAGACAAAAGAGCACAGGATAATTTCCAAGGAAACGACTTGAAGTGTGTAACTCAGTACAGACCCTGGGGCAGGAAAGGGGAAAGCCCTGAGCTCAGGTTGCAAGTATGACATCAGAGTATCCATCCCCACTCAACTTCCTGGAATGAGAGGGCAGTCCAGAAACCCAGAGGACGAGTCCAGAGGCCAAAAACCCCGGAGGAAATCAAGTTTCCTTCTTTCTTGTTTTGGTGTGTGTGTGTGATGTATGTGGGTATGGACATGTGTGCATGCAGGTGCATATACAAGTGAGTGCACATGTGTGTTCCAACATGTGAACGCCTGAAGACATAGTGTGTCTTTCTCAGTCACTCTCACTTTGTTTTTGAGACAAAATCACGGAATCTAGAGCTCACCTATTACACTACACTGGTACCAATCTCCAGTGGCCCACCCATCGCCTCCCCACCCAGCTGTGGGTGCTGATGATCCAAAGTCAGGCACTTTCACCAAATGGAAATCACATGTTCTGTTATTTTAAGCTCACTTGGTCCTTGAGACCAAAGCTCATCAAAACAAACAGCAAATAAAAACTTTATTTGTAAGAGACAAAAAAAAATGAGTATTTTATTTGCTGAAATATTCCATTAGGTAGGAAACCAACCATGGCTGAAAGCTAAATGCTGAACCAACAAAACTTTTCAAATTGACTGAAGGATCCTCTCACTGAGAGGCTCCCCATCCTGGTTCCCAGCACATACAGACCCATCACCAGGGTATAGTCTCTCTGAGGTCCATACTATCCCTGGTTCTGGGACCAGCAAACCAAAGCAAGGATTTGCCATTGCTAGGTCAGGGCATAATCCCTGTTAGAAAGAAAGCAACTAAAAAGTGACTTAATGGTTAGTAACAACAAAAGTACTAGCTGTAGAGACAATATTACCATTGAGAGACCAGAAAAGAATGTCCCTATCAGGTCATTTAAATAATGCAAGCTTGGTCCAGAGAGCATCCTTAACAATGCCACAGAAGAAACAGGAACTGGCCAGGTAGTGGTAGTGCATGCCTTTAATCCCAGAAGCAGGCCTGGTCTACAGATTGAGTTCCAGGGCAGCCAGGACTGGACTGATATATAGAAAAACCTTGTCTCAGAAAAAAAAAAAAAAAAAAAGGAAGGAAGGAAGGAAGGAAGGAAAGAAAGAAAGAAAGAAAGGGAGGGAGGAAGAGAGACAGAGACAGAGAGACAGAGACAGAGAGAAAGAGGAACTGGCCAGGACAACCAAGCTAACCATGGTCCTGCACCAAAGATGTGGCCTGTAAACCCAGACTTCCCCCAGAGTCAAACGTCAACCAATCAGGACTGCCCTCATTTGCATGGCAGGTGGTGGGGTTGAGGATGGCTCTCAACCAAAGCCACCAACCACTGCAGCTAACCTGGCCAAGGCAGGAGGTTCTTCTGCTTCTGTCCTGATCCATGGCTTCACCGCAGTATACTTGGTAAACTTGCCATTTTCTATTCTGGTCTGAGCTGGGTGAATTCTTTCACTGCCTGTGGTGATATATTGTGTCCCCAATATATTGTGCACCTTAATAAACTTATCTGGGGTCAGAGGACAGAACAGCCACTAGATAGACATAGAGGCCAGAAAATGGTGGCACACACACCTTTAATCGTAGCATTCCAAAGGCAGAGATCCATCTGGATCTCTGTGAGTTCAAAGCCACACTGGAAACAGCCAGGCATGGTGACTCATGCCTTTAATCCCAGGAAGTGATGGCAAGAAGCAGAAAGGTATATAAAGTCATGAGGACCAGGAACTAGAAGCTGGTTAAGCTTTTAGGCTTTTAGCAGTAGTTCAGCTGAGATTTATTTGAATGAGGACCCAGAGGCTTCCAGTCTGAGGAAACAAGATCGGCTGAGAAGTTGGTGAGGTGAGGTTGGCTGTGGCTGGTTCTGCCTCTCTGAGCGTTCAACCCAATACCTGGCTCCAGGTTTGTTTTGATTAATAAGACCTTTTAAGATTCATGCTACAACTGCCTGTCAATTCTCTATCACACTATACAAGATCCAAAGTCATTCCATCCAAATCATGGGAGGAGAGAAAAAAAAAAACCTTCACTCTAGACTCACACATTCTAAGTTGGGTGTGACCTTCTGGGAAGAAAGGGGGGTAATCATGGAAGCCTGAAGAGGTTACTCAGACTCTCAGGGAGGGTGAAGGGCAGTCCCATGATAAGTGCAAACCTTTGTCTGCTGCTGGAGATCAAGGTCAAGGGGCAGAGGTGATTTCATCTTCTGGGGACACAGGTGTGTGGCTCAGACCCGAGACTAAGACAAGGGTGGCTGGACGCATTAGCCACTGAGACAGTTGTCACTGATGTGTGGCAGACAGTCTTCACTTACATGATCAGTGACTCAGTGTATCCATCAACAGGTGGGACAGATCTCATCCAATGACGCCACCACTGGGCCATGAGAACTGTAAAACATCCCTATGGCTCTTCCAGCAAGTAATGAAAGTGCAATGGCCATGACTGAGCACGGAGGTGGTCGCCACAGCAGGAAGACAGTCTATAGCATTTTGAAGACATCTGCCCGCTCAAGAATGACCCACCCAGCATAACCATGCCAGCCAGTTCTGGACATCCTCACCAGAGTTCCCAGAAACGTCACAGAACCAGAGGCCACCTCAGACAACAGAGTGGAGAATGAGCCCTGAAAACAAACCAGTGTCTGTGTCTGGACCAGAGGAGCTGGACCTGGGGGCATGGGCAGCTCTGCGTATACAGCAGAGGCGGAGTCAGAGAGAGGCCAGAGGCCGAGATGCTGATTACTGGCATATCTCACTTTATTGCTCTTCACTTTATTGCACTCCAAAGATAGGGTGTAGCTTGCTAACTGGAGGGAAGGCCACCTTCATCATGGCACCATTTTTATAGCAGCTCAAATGGTCGTTTACATTTCTTAGCAAGAGTGTTCTTTTTTTTTTTTTTTTAATTTATTCAACTTTATTTTATGTGCCTTGGTGTAACTCCACTGGAACTGGAGTTACAAACAGTTGTAAGCTTTCATGTGGATGCTGGGAATTGAACCTGGGCACTCTGGAAGAACAGCCAGTGCTATTAACCGCTGAGCCATCTCTCCAGCCCAGCAAGAGTGTTCTTAATTAAGTGGGTACATTGGTTTTTGGTTGTTTGTTTTTTAGCATTTAAAGGAATACAGGGAAAACATTAACTTTCATACAGACTGGGAAACCAAGAATCCACTGGGGTCATTCTGGGTTTTGCAGGGGCCTGAACCAAACCCAAATATCCCTCAAGGCTTTCCTGCCAGAGGGGCCCTGCTGAGAAGGACTTTCTCCAGTGAACCAGCAGCCACCATTAAACTGGCCACCTGCAAGATCCCATTATCAGAGGCTTCACCCAACAAGCCAACATCACAGTCTAGAACCCGGCACAAACTCTAATCCGAAGAGGATCTTTGGGCCACAAGAGAACGGAAGAGAAAGCACACACTAAAAACCTCCCCCCCAGGCATCAGCCACAGCATTTGAACAACCGAAAAGCCTAGAGGTGCCTCTGGTCCCTGGAACACACCAGCCAACCCTTCCCCAGACTCGTCTAGTAAGACATGATCTAGAACTCACAGAGCTCATCCAGCATCTGGATTTCCCCCGCCTCTCTCCCAGTCTCCAGACCCTGGAGTATTGGACAGAGGCAGGGCCCTGGATCCGGAAAGGTTTTAACAAGTGCCTGGGTCACTTTCAGGCAGCTGAGACTTGAGAAGCTCCACCTACCCTTTCCAGTTTCCAGGCAGTCAGGCTTACCCACACTTCTCATCACTAGGGAAGAGGGCAGCCTGGTTAACCAGCTCCAGCCAGTCTATTTCAAACCACCGGGAAGCAAGGTTCCTGTGGTGTGGGTTGGCTATACTTCCTGCCACGGGGACCGTTCCATAATGGTCAAGGCATCTTCCCCAAATTCCCTTGGGCTGCCAGAAGCACACAATCCCCATCCACCCAGCCAGCCTCAGGCCTAGACACATGGCGGGGGCCTCCACACACCCTTTCATCGTTTCCCACACAACACGCTTATCCTCGCTCTCCGGCCCTGTCACTGGCCTCGAGTGTCCCATCAGACATGAATTCTGGGAAATGAGTGGATGCCGAGCTTTTGTCCGGGAGGAAACTACAGAACACCAACAGGCCAGTAGCTCTCACTGGATAAAGTAAACCGAAAGTCTCCATACCCAACTCGATCATAAGGGGAAGTCCCCAGGACCTACCTGGCTTCCACAGCACACTGAAACAAGACTCTCTGCCAGGGGACAGCAGCCTCCCCCTGTGACTGCGCTACGCCTCCCCTCGAAACTGAGGCCCAGGGTTGCCACCAGCACAGCCTGGGGACAGAAGCCACACATCCCAGCCATGAGACACCTTTCTTCCCAGAAGAGAAGGAACACACTGTGAAGAGGGCTGCCTGACACAAATCTCTCTCCTTTTTTGTGAGGTGGAGTGGGTGTGACCTACATTGGGATTCTGGGCTGAGCCCCCTAAGTCCTTGGGGCAAATACTTTTCATTGGGCCTCAGTCTCCCTCTCCTAAAACTGGGTTAATGACCCCTTAGAGATCATAATTAGCTAATTCCTGCTAATGACAGGGCCTCTCCACTGTGTCCCTTTGATTTTCAGTTCCCCACCCACCTTGCATCCACCTGTCCAGAGCAGACTCGACAGGCCCAGGACAGACCAAGCTCAGGCGTGGGGAGGGGCACTCCATCAAGGCCAGCCCACTGCATCTGCTGGAGCCACAGAACCAGAGAGGCCTCTTCTCCACCCCACCCCCCTCATATCCTCCATCCTCTGTCCACCCAGACTTATCACTTGACTCTTTGATTTGGAGGGGGTGGGATGAGGCGGTGGCTAGAGATTGAAACCCGGCCCAACCACCTCACCATCCTCTCTGCCTGGAGTCACCAAGTGCAACAGCACAGCCTGGCTGACCCACCCCCCAACACACACACACACACACACACACACACACACACACACCACCACCACCACCAACAACAACAACAACAGAAATGAGAGGTGTGGCGAGCATTTCCTGACTTCTCATTCATTTCTTGACTTTTCACTGACTCTACATTCCAATTTCACAGACTAGTGTGTTTTTCATTATTGCAATTTTTGTTGAGATAATTTAGATTTCTACAAAATGAGACGCTTCCTAGGCTCGGCCGGAGCTCCCCCTGTGGTAGCACTTCAAAAAGTCTTACTAGTGTGACATTGACACAATCCACAGATGTCCTGTCTGACTTGTACACACGTGTGCCTCTCCATGTGTACCACAGGGGTAGGTTCCCACGTCCACAATGGACAAGCCTGTGTGCCGCTCCAACATGAAGGTCCCTCCTGTTGTCTTTTGTGGGGGGCTGGGGTGGGGTTAAGACAGGGTCTCCCCACATAGTCCCAGCTGTCCTGGCACTCACTATGTAGACCAGGCTGTCCTGGTCTCAC